TGGTTAGTGCGTATAGGCTCGTAGCCAGACTCAGATCAAATACCAAGATCTCGTTAAGCGTGTTAAGTATCCGCGAACGCCGAACAGGGCCAGGCCCACCTGTCTCCTAGGTGGTCTCAACCTGCCCTGTCGCTCCGCCACAAAGTAACAGTCGAGGACCGTCGGGAACCCAGGCCCACCTCTACCGGGATGGAGCCACCTGTCCTTTCAGCCCCCTCGTCAGAATCACTTGCGGGTACTCAATGAGCTGACCCGACTTTAGTCACCATCTGTATAGTATGTATGTATGTATAGTATATACCCGTGATCACCTCCCAAGTGATCACGGCCCGATAGTATAGCAAGGCAGACTGACAAGAATGTAGGGCCAATGATGATAAACTAGCACCCTATACTAAGCATTTAGGATTGCAGGTAAGGTATCAACAGATGTAGCGACAATGTCAGGCTATGCATCAGAATAGGATTAACGAAAGCAGTAACATGCTACACTACTCTAATGCAAGCAGTATAGAGGAGAATAGGCGATATCTGGTGATCAAGGGGGGGGGGGCTTGCCTGGTTGCTCTGGCAAGAGAGAGGGGTCGTCGGTGACGTAGTCGTCCACAGGGGCATCAGCATCGTCACGGGGGCTACCGGAGAGAAGAGGAGGGAGAAACAGTAAATACATAGCAAGCAAGTGCATAACAGGTCAACAAGCAGAGCTAGACGTGTTCTAGCGCGGTATGAGGTGGTACTGGTTAAGGGGGGAATCATCCGGGAAAGTATTCCCGGTGTTTCGTGTTTTTGGGCAGAGGAGTCGGAGGGGGAAAGTTGCGGGTTCGATAGGTTAGGGGGGTGTGGCGGACGAACGGACTGCGTATCCGGATTCGTCTCGTCGTTCTGAACAACTTTCATGTTGAAAATATTTTAATCCGAGTTACGGATTAAAAGATATGATTTTCTAAAGATTTTATTAATTTCTGGAATTTAATTAATTAATTAATTAATTCGAAAAATGGATTTATGACGTCAGCATGATGTCATGCTGATGTCAGCAGTCAACAGAGTTGACTTGGTCAACCTGACATGTGGGTCCAGTTGGACCCACCTGTCATTCTCTGTTTAGGTTAATTACAGATTAAACCATTTTTTTTATTTTTTTATTTTTATTTTTAATTAATTAAACCGGATTAATTAACTTAATTAATTCATTAGATAATTAATTAATTTAATAATTAATTTTATTAAACCATTTTTTTTATTTTTTTATTTTTATTTTTAATTCCCCCTTTTTTTTAAACGTTATGGGCATGGGGCCCATCTGTCATAGGCCCCAGGGGCCATAGCGGGTCGGGCGTTGCGGCCGAACGGGCACAGGGCGCTGGCGCGGGCACCAGCCCGAACAGGCGCAGATGGTCGCCGGCGCACGGGCGAGGCCATTCGGGGCGATGGGGCGGGCGCAGGCCACCGGGGCACAGTGGGAGGGGGCGGCCAGTGGGTGGCCGCGGGCGAGACAGGGCACGGCCACGGGGCAACGGCCACGGTGACGCGAGACGGGCGCTGACCGGCGCGGAGGCTATCGGGGCACCGGCTGGGGCCGGAGGTGGCGCGGGGAACGACGACCACGGGCGGGCGCTGGAGCGCGCCGGAGATGGGGGAGGGCGAGGCGCGGGCGCGTGGGTCGCGTGGCCGGGCACGCACGCTTGACGCGGCCAGCGTGGGGTGACCGCGGTCGAGGCGCGTTCAGATGGTGAGCGGCGATGGGGAGAGACGCTAAGAGAGGGCAGAGGAGAAGGGGAGGGTGGTGGCTCACTGGGCCCTGCAGGTGTGCGAGAGTGAGCTCGGGGAGGGCTCGGGGAGGTCTGACGACGAAGAGGACGACGGCGTCCGACGAGGCGTAGGAGCTCCGGTCGTGGAGGAGGGCGAAGACGGGCGGCGACGGCGGTGTGCGT